GAGTCCACAGGGACCAAGAACAAAGCAAAGTCTATTGCCATCCAGCACTACTATAATAAGCACTTACTGCTGACTCCTTTCCTTTTCTGGTGGCAGTTGTTGAGGTACGAAAACTGCCAGAGGTAATTGGAAGTATGATGTACTGCTGAGCCTCACAGTGATCTAAGAGTAGCTGAGAACATCAGCATTGTAGTTTTATTGTCTGTCTCCTGGTGTCTATAAATCCCAGCTTTTACTACCTTTGTTTTCATCATGCCAATCAAAGGCTTGATTGCCCAAGGAATAAATTACCAGATAAATCACTATTTGGAAACACAGTTCTCTCTTTGACAGAGCCTTATTTCTTGTGACATCATACGCATATGCTACTTTACCACTATGCAAGGCGTTGCAGAAATAGTCCAGATTTCTATGTGATGTCATAACACAGAAAAAGGATAATGTTACCTCTAGAGAGCGCAAAACAACAGTGTGATATGCAGGTGGACAGAACAGTGTATTTGCAGAAAGGAGAGCTAATTAACGTGGGGACAATAGGGGAGAAGGGAGAGGACATTCTGCCTCATAACGAAGCTCGGCATGATGCGAAAGCACTTACCTGGCAGCAAAGATTACAAATGTTAGTATCATAACAGGCTTAGTGCAAGACATTATGGACTTGGTAGGATGTACGTGTGCGGTACACTGTAAATGCAGTACAGAGAAGCTGAAGTCAAAATGTAGTTTCAAACAAATTAAATATCTAGATGGAAATAACTGCAAGAACTTCAGTTTGAATCCCTCTGGGGCAACTAATTTTATCTGCTGTGTAAAAGGCGTCTCTAAGAGTAGTTAAAACACCCTTCCTGAATAGTTATTAAACCTTCCACAGGCCTACACCAGCGTTGTTTTAAAAATCATTAGGATAAATATGGAAAGCATTATCACAGGCAGTCCTGAAAGTTAAGCGTATAGTTTTAAAAAAAAGTCCATGGGATCGGGTGCTAGTGTACACGGGAGTGTTTAATGCACTTTCTGCACCTGCTACAGCTGACATGCAAGAAGGCTGCAAAATGTAGTGCAAGTTAGATTAATGCATCAAAGATACACTGAAGATCATTTTGCAAGTTTTTGGCCACCTGGGAATCAGGACACATGCGTCTGAGAGCATTAAGTGTGACCGATCTCTGGCACTTCTGTTTTCGGACATCAAATTGATTCATTGGCAAACTACTGTGCCTTTTACTTGGTGTATACGCAATTTTTAAATGTACCCTCTAGAGAACAGTCTTCATTTACTAGCCTGAGCATTTTCATGGCTGCGGGAAGCTTGAGTTTCAACCCCCCAGCTATGATGGAGTTAATTCAAGCCCTTTCTGTGGGCTACTGTTTTAACAGCTATGGCTTTATATAAAAGGTGGCTCTACCTTTGCAATTTTGAAAGCACTCCAGGCTTTCTGCAAGCACTTGAAGCATGCCAAGATCATATCTAACAAATCAAGTTCCTCAGGGTACCTTGATGCAGGAATGCTTAGCTTTTGAATTTTGAAGTGGAGGCAGGTATTTAGGCATCTGGCTCTGTCAATACAGAAGCACTCTGGGCGTGCAAAGAACCAGAACCTAAAGCTACCAAAGAAGGAGCAACCCGAGAGGTTCAAACACATGCTTTCATGTCCCAGGACTGTGCTCTGAGCAGCAGGTTAGTACACATAGACTGGGGGATGTTAGATGATATTTTACATACGTAGGCAATTAGGTGTGGGTCTCTTGGATTGTCCTATTGCATCTAGTTGCACCTAGATTACACTGCAGGTACCTAAAGGGTACCTTGGATTTTATCCTTAGCAATTGACCTACACCTCGATGTTTGAAACATAAAGAGTGCATTGGGTTTCAATCTAATTTTTTTGTCACCTAGTTTATAAGGGACATCTTTTACTTTTAGTTTGTTTTTCTTTTTTTTTTTTAAGTGAAAAAATATGTGTTTCTAGGCTTCACAGTACTTTGTTCTCATCTTATGATGGAGCTGAGTGCCACATTCTCACACAGTAATTATAGAGTACATGAGGATTTGAAATAATCAGAAGCACGTCCAAAAGTAAAGGTTAGGTACCATATTCATCTCTGATTTATGCCTATGTGTCCTCGCTCACTGTGGTTCTGAAGCCATCCGGTGAAAGACATATAGGAAGGTTTATTAGAAAATTCTGGTTTCCCACACCAAAACCAAAAGGAAATTTTAAAGGAAAGTATAGGAAAGACTTGGGTGTGAAACACTGGGGGAAAGTAGGGCACCATTTTCAGTCTTTTCCTGGAACCATGATGACATAATATCAATTACAAAAAAAGATGGAGTTTCTAGTTTAAACTTTGACAGTCCTAAGAGTTTAAAGCTGCTTGGCAAAGCAAGCTGTTGAGTGCTTGGAGTTGTTTGGTGAAAGCAGAACTGCAAATCAATTGCAATAAAGGTATATTTTTACAGTTAAACTTTGGCTTTTTGCTGGGAGCAGCTTAATGCTTTTTGCCTAAAAGCACCACAAGCCCAGTACACTCGCATGTTAGTTTTGCATGACGGAGCAGAGATCCCATGTGGAAAAGTAGTATATGCTGTAAAACTGATTTCCTACTGAAATGGTCCATGTACCACCACTATAAAAATACTGCAAGATTTCTCATATACTGAAGTGACAATTTCAAATCTTATATTCTCCCTATCAAAAAAGCCTTGGTGTAAAGCTTGTTGAGAATAAAATCCCGGAACTGACTTGAGAGGCTTGTTTCTCAGTCAATGTATACATCGACATAGGTCCCACAGCCTTCAGTCGAAGCTGTCCTGATTTGTGGTAGGTAGTAGTGGTTTCTCAGCTCTCAGTTCTGAAAGGACTTGAACACTTCTTGCTATGTGCCAGCAAGCATTTATAGCCTCACAGGTAGTACTCCTGCAGGATCAGGCCTTTTGGAAGATGCTCTCGAGAGAGTGGTCCTGTTTGCTTCTTCAGAAATCAGATTCTAGGAAAAGCTTGGTTTTTTCCATCTTTTACTTTCCATTTCTTCAGTCTTCATTTCACGCCATTACGTACTTTGACCAATGCTGTTTCAAGCTGAATAATCCCCTGAGCTTCTTCTGTTTCATCTTTAAGTGAAATAGGGTGTTGTTTGGCTACATTTCATAAAACGTGTCATTTGATTCAGCATTTTAAGGCATAACCTCATGCTTGTCCCATTCTCACCATATCTTTGGGCTTGTCTATACTTAGCAGCTCATTCAAATTAAGGCATGAAGTGAATTTAAAATGCAGCAGGTATTCCCAGTCACTCTGTGCATATCCGAGCAATCCAGTACAACTATGGGAAAAGGAGACACTGCATTCATTCCACTCCTGGAAAAAAGTTTGATGGCATTTGAGCTTCTACTTCCTCCCTCTTTCAAGCTACATGGGAAAGAGACCTGAACTCTGTTGTAATCTTTATGTGGAAGAGGTCTAAAAAGGACACAACACGGTCTCTGTCCTATGACAGTTCTCCTGTTCCATCCTTCCTCTCTCTCTCAGTCTAAAAGGAGAGTGTGGCTCATTTCAGGTAACAAATTCCCTGCTGAGACACCGGCAATGCCCTTGAACTCTCCTGCCTGCTTCCTTCTCGCACTGCAGTTTTTGATCGCTTACACCAAAGGCCATGCTAATTGCAGAAGAGCGGGAGGGTTTGCATCTTCTGGAATCGGTGTTTCATGGATCCAGGCAGACAAACCTCTGATACGTGCTTGTTGGTGGCTGTGGGAGATGGGATTTAATGACCTGCATTGTCTTCCTCAGTCCACTATTCCTACTTGCTATGAGTGAACATGCAAAAGAAGCGATTCACCTTTTGCTTTTCTCTTTGAGCTATAAAATCAGGCAGTATGAGGTTTACGTGGATTTATGTTTTATTCTATACTGAGTAATCTGATTTGGAAAAGTCTTAAAAGCAATATTACTTTGTCTAGGCACATTTCAAAGAATTCTTAAACCAAGATTCTGATGGCAGAGGCATTTGTGAATATTTAGTATAAATCTCACATTCAGATTCCTTGAATTCATAGTTTTCTTCTATTTTTGCTTCTTATTCAGCTAAACAGGCTCAGTATTTTCCAGTATCACTTTTCAACAATGGAAGAGATATATTCCTAATTAGCTTTGATTCTGCAGAACATTAACTGGTGCTCCTCTATTTTACCAGCTCTAATGCAAACTTCAGACATATAAGGTGTAAAATACACTGAACACTACTTAGTGTTGCCCAGTTATTTAGAGATAATGTAAAAAGTGAGTAGGTTTGTTTTAGAACAAGTAGCAATGAAGTATACAATGATTTCCCAAGATAGACAATTTCCAGTCTCTTTAAAATGTTTCTATTATTCTCTTCTCCACTTAAATGGGAAGAAGCCTGATTCTTTTGTGTTTGTATTTAAAATATACACCTTAGTTATTTGGAGAAATCACTACCCTAGCTTTTGTTCGCTGCATATATAATTTTTAAGGGAGAGTACACTTTTTGATAGCTGCAGTTAAGCTGTTATATAACATAACACATCTAACTGCTTGCATTAAAGTAAGACTTCTTCATCATAACTACATTCATTTTACTTAATGACAACTTTTGCACTCAGATCTAATTATGGAATCCTAAAAGAAGTGCTTGTATTTTTTCCAAGCACAATATAAAGTGGGAAAAACATTTCAGCCCATCTGAAAATATTTCCTTAAAGGACCAAATTAAGTAGATAAAGCCAAAAATGTGATTATGAATGGTTTAGCACAGGAAAATAAAATGAGAGCCAGTACATTTTTGTACAGTTTGGAAAATACTGAGTAATAATAATAGTCCAATATGGAAAAACGCATCTTATAAGACAGCATTAAAACATACACAAAAGACACAGGCAACAACCATCTATGAGTGCACTGAAGTCAATGGACACTGCACCACTGACCCCATAAGAGCTATTATCTTACCTCAAAAGGGAAAATCCTTTGAGTCCTTACCTGTACACTAGTAAGAGTGGTGTACTGATAAGCTTTGACTACCAGGTAATTGGCTTCTATATCTATTATCCCCAGGATCATGTACTTCCACCATCTCCTTTTCAAAATTGCCAGCAAGTTTTCTTCTCCTGTGGTAATAAACAAGAATTATGTAAAAGAGTTAGGTTTACATGCAAAAAATACCAGCCTGTCAAGAGAAATTATCTAGAAGATCTCTCACATTTACAATATGCAATTGAAAAGCACCATATATAAAGAGGTACTGCAAGGAGGTGAAAACTAACACGCCTTATTTGTCTTGCAGATATTAAAACAGCCAGCTTGGTGAAGCAATATGTGAGGGTCAGATTGTCACTTCACTTACGAGGTAAACAATGCCAGGACAAACAAGTGCAGCTTGGGCAGACTGTGAGTGTGTTCTTAGTTTTACTTTTATATATACACATATATACACACATATAAAATGCTAAAGAATAGAGCAGTTTATTACATACATTTACACTTTCAATACATACTGATAAATGTTGTATCACACATGATGCAAGGGGGCTTTGCCAGACGTGGGAGATTACCAGTATTTGCAAATATGATGGAATATTAGAGGAGAGCAACAGCATCACCTTTGGGCAGATTACAGATCTTGCTCCAAGAATGGTTATTACGATCCTAGAGGTTCAAAATATCAGACTTGTTTAGAGAACGGCTGCACGGAGACAAGCAGATTTTGCGTGACAGGTTGCTCTGCTCCCAGGATCGATTTCTGAAGTAGGCAGGTTCGCTGCCTTCTATGGGAGCCCTGCCAATCACCCAGTACTTAATTTCCACTCACGTGAAGACTGACAGTACAATACAGCCTGCAGATCAAACCCACAGCTTTCAAAAGGTCAAAGCATTCCTCATGCGAGGCTAGGGATTATTATTGTTCTCCATTCAAAAGAACCCAGCTCATTAGTGAGGGTTGGCAAACCTGTTACTTATTTGCATTACAGTAAGCTCCAGACACGATGGGACCCCACTGTGAAAGGGGCTGGACATACCGACTATGACTGAACACAGTACGACTGGAGGTCTTTAAGAATCTATAGCCTAAACGGGATTTAAGTAGGATTGATCTTTACTGCCAAAGTACCATAAATGGAATCACCCCCCCCCCCCCCCCCCCCCACTATTCTGAGATTTGTTCGTGTTGCTGCAGCCTTTCTAAGTGCCTGTGGAAACTACAGAAGAAAATGAACATTACTGTCAATTGCCACCAAAACTTGCTCAGGCTTCCCAGTTGTCCCTCATCATTTTCCATCATCACAAGTTTGTTCACTCTCTGATTCTAATAGACCTAGTGATATATGTGCTGCCATACCATCAAAAATGGCAGTCTTTCTATAGGACAGGACTACCTCAGATCTTGTAAGATGCAATCACAGAAAAACAGATAATTCAAGATCTTAGACATTAAATCTTGGCCCCACTGAGCGACCTCAGTGGGTATTTACCTGAACCAAGCATCTGAATCATTTGACATTTGTTCATTAACAGATGCTCATGCATACACACTTCCAGTGGGATATTATTAGGCAAGAGCCTAATTATTTGTTACAGTGATAATGACACTGAGTACAAAACTGTAAATGCTAAAAAGCTTTCCTTCCTTTCTTCCCTCCCTTCTCTTTTTCTCTTTCCTCCTCTTTCACCTTCTCTCAGTAAGAAGCAGCGAAACAGCAGAAACAAGATGGTGAGTAGGCTAATTATTTAAGACCCTAAAAAGAATGAGTCAGTACATTCAACCATACCACACTCCCCTGTTACCACCAACTCACAGGAGAACTCACTAACAAGAAATTCCCACCCTTTTTTTGTACTGGGGTACAGGAACAATGCACTGCAGACATGAATTATGACTACATTTATGTATTTGTTATGATGATTTGAGCATGAAGAAAGAGGAATATTGTAGATTTTATTTTTAAATACATTTAGGGAGGTATTTTCAAAAAAGCGTTTGAGTTTAGATGTCCTAATTCCTTCTAAAATCAGTGTAAAACATGCAGATAGATCCTTTGCAGGCACTGAAACCACATCTCTAATTCTTGTGCTGCCCAGATAATATCGTCAAAACACCAGCTGAAAAACATCAATGGCATGGAAAGGCATGGCTAACACTTCAGAGCAATTTTTCTTGTTAACTGTAAAAAGAAAGTTTACAAATCAAAGACATCAAACTATTAGACAGTATAAACCTCTCAGAGTCACTGCAGTCTCTATTCCAACACCCACTTAAATCTGTTTTTGTGACAGTAAGACCTTGGTGGCACCTACAAAGCAGAAAGAAGCAGGTTCAAGAACTGGCACTGGCATTGGGCTGCCTGAGCAAGGACTACAGACGAATCTTAAGGAATCTTTTGGTACCTTTGGTTTGCCAGTGCTAGCTTTCTCCAGCTTCAATTTCCAACTGCAGATCACTGTACTGTTCAGATATGGTCAAATAAGTTCACTTTAAAAGGAATGTATGGTCATGACTTCTGGCTAACAGGTAAAGTCAGAGTTTCCAGAGATGGAAATTAAATCTGTTAATTTTAACTGACATACACAGTTCTCTCTTTTGCTTTCTCAATCCCTTCTGGGCTAACAACAGAAATAAGAAAAATATTTGGCAAGTGGTATTTTATCTTTGATATACAGCTCTGAGATATTCCAAACCGCAAAAGATCAGGTTTAGCTGAGAAGGCTCTGCAGAGCAAAAAGCAATGCCAAAATGAATTTATGCAGGCACCGTGCAGCTCTGATGAACACTGGTTTAGCTTCACAGCAAGTGTCTTTGTCTTGCCCAGTGGAAAGTAGAGAGATGTACAGGCGTTCAGCATGACAAAAATAAAATAGAGAATTTGCTTCTGGAAAAAAGTCTGGTGCGGGAGTTTCATCCTTCTCTGTGGAACATACTTAGTCTTCGCTTCCACTCATCTGCTGCGTCTCCTGTTACTTAGTGTGTAAGAAAGGTCTGGCTTCTGACTGCATCCCTCTGCCCATATTATTGTTATCATTTATCATTAACATATCAGTTGTGCAGATCTACAAGCATTAGCAAAACTGACGGACCCCATTTGAGGGTATATCTGAGCAAAAGGCAATGCATGTTTAATATCGTTCATGTGGGGACTGTTATTTGTTTACTGCTTTCTATTTTTTTGGCATTGTCATCACAATTCATAGAAGGGAATGAATCGCTCCTGAAGTGGGAGATTTTCTGCAGGGAAGGGCAGGAGAAAGAAGATGATCATCTGCAGTGAGTGTCAGTCCAATGCTATGGACAAATCAAGGAAGAGGCAGGTGGAGTCCCGGTTTTGAGATGGGGCTGAAATAAAGGCACCATATTCAAATGTCACACTTTTGCAAGAGTGACCCAGTAGAAGGCAACGGTGGAAGACAGCCTGGAGAAGGCGTGGGCTGCCAGTAGGACAGGACCTCTGGACAGCAATCACAGATGGCATCCTCAGGGAACTCAGAGACCAGAAGTGAAATGGGAGTTAGGGAGATAAGTGGAAAGACTTGACTTAACTTGGGATGACTAAAATGAAAAGCAGAGAGCTTCATTCAAAAGTTTACATCCTGAATAGTGATAAACATCACCTTTGCCTAAAAACAAAGTGGGGGAAAAATATCACACTTAATTAAAAAAAAAAACCAAAAAACAACAAACCAAAAAGAGACAATCTGGGGTTTTTTATTTGCCTTGATGACAAATCAAAGCAAACTAATTACTCAGGTCTTTTGAGTTGTAAGCATGGTAGGCCAGAAGGACCAAATGTAGATGCCTACACCTGAGCTAGCTGGCAAAGCATTTTTAAAGCATTTTTCATCTAACATATTCCAGATGAATTGTTTAGGATGAGATAGCCAGTGTTTTGAAATAAACATCTCTCCCACTGAATGTAAAGGGAAGAGAGATTATGTCAGATCGTGTGGTTTTGTTATTATCTCAATAGGACTGTGACTAAGTCTTCCAGCCAGTCATACAAACAAATACCAAACCATGAAGTGTGCAGGTTAGCTTAAAGGCAACATTTCCAACGAGCCAACAGCACATATTGATGTTGGTGAACATGCATCTATGTGAGTGCACAGAGTAATGCCATCTTCAGACCGTGCCATTTTTTGATGGAGATCTCCTTTCAAAAAGCAAATGCCTAACTTCTGTCAGCACTCAAGCTTTTGAAAAGGTAACCTTCATATTCAGTCTAATCCAAATGTAATGTAGGTTTAAAAGCAAGCTGTATATTAGGAATGTTTTAGATTCAGAAGTCTAACATACTGTTAACACAGAGAAATACAAACCTCCTCTTTGCCCTTTCTAGAAGGACAGGTTTAGGTTTTACATTTTTTTACTAACTTTGCAGTGAGACACACACTCGACAGTTATATATACAGAGGAGCTCTCAGTGTTTGGAAAAAAGCCACAGCTTTGCCTCTGCTGGCTCAAATTAAAAATCAACAAATAAGCTGCTTTGTAGAAGAGATGATTTTACATCATATAATAAGGACTTACCCCTAAGGGGTTACAAAATTAAAAATAAATTAGAGAGAAAATTAAAAGAGGCTTTAGCTGTGCACTGTCTACCAAAAATACATATATATATATGTGCAAAAACCTTTTCGCATTCACCCACACAGCCACAGAGGTACAATTAAAAAAACCAACAGCCATTAAGACAGCAAATTCCCAATTATTTGTGTATGGGCTTGGGACACAGGTAGAATAACAGCACTGCTAGGCCAGAACATAAGCATATTGCTTCTCTTTCATCCGCTGCAGTCTCTCCCTTTTACTTCAGTTGACAACTTGCTATTTAGATCAAGATCATCAAAGGAGCTGTGCTCTACTTCTGCTTTACAGAGCTCAGCAGAAGAGATCTAAGTATGTGCAGGAAACTTGCAAGGGGGAAGGCAGCGTGGAGAGGGAGGGCTGCTGGGCACGCTGGTCCTCCCCTGCCTCCAAGGGGAGCGTTGGAGTCAAGTGCCACATGGTAAAGAGGCAAAAGTCTCACAGAGGGTGAAGATTAGACCAGAATTTACTTATTATCACTTTCTTTGAAAAAGAATCTCAGTTACAAAGCACAATTACAGGATAATTGATTTTTTTCCTCTTTTCTTCACCAGTAACAATGCTGCTTCTCTACAGACTTTGTAGTCACCCAGCCCTGCTGCAGGACGAGGGGAAGGAGGCAGTCAAATGGCGTAATACCATGTAGGGGTAACACAGATCTTCTCTGTATTACTATGCCAAGAGGCTCCCATGCCTGAACAATAATACCTTGCTTGTCTCCTGCTTGGCCAAGTTGCTGGTTCAGGGGACTTAAAGCCCATTGTAGGCTTTCAGCTCTCCAAAAAGCTCAAAAGAACTGTCCTTCTTCTGTGTGACTTTAATCCTTGCCCCAGAATGGCTTCTTATTTCCTCATATCTATTTGTATTACTGCTGACTACTTTATGGTAATACTGCTGCCTAAAGGCAAAACACCACCAACTGCTTAATTATTTACACAATAGAGAAAATGCTCTCTTACAGGAATGCTCCTCCAGTCTGGCTTCACAAAACACCTGAATATACTCTATTCACCTTATGGATGACTGCTTATATGCTGCACTGCTTTTGTCCTATACCACGTTTTCAGCAAGCCTTTTGGGAGACTAGACAACCTCAGCTCCTTTTGCCTCCTCAGGACATCTGATCTTATCCAACCTCATCTTATCCAGAGATCCCTCCTGCTTCCTCTCCCACAGTAGGAAAATTGCATAACGCACAGACATGCTGTTGGTGTAACAGCCCCAAGTCGCTGCTACAAGCGGCTCCCATGCCCTCTAGCTGCCAGCCACACGTTCCCTGCCCCTTGCCCTGTGCCAGCACTGGTGCTTGTGGGGCTGCACAGTGAGCCAGGGCAAAGAACTGCCTGGAAACAAAGATTTTGGGGTTTCAGATCAATTTTCAGACTGTCCCCTGAGCAGTCTGTGACCAAATTAATGTTTGTCCTGTCGGAGGCGAGTAGCAAGTAACAGGGGACCCAGGCAGGGGACAGATACCCCCTTCTCTGACACAGGCTGAATCGTGCATGTATCCTACTTGTCACAAGGCGACAGCAGTCATTGAACAAACCAGCAGCCGTCACCATCGCCCTTGCTGCGAATATGCAGTGTACAATGAGGCTGCAGGTCTTCCTGCCGTGTGTCTTGAAGCAAACCTGCAATGAGTGGTGCTGCTGAGGTGGATCACAGTCACAGGACATGAGCTGGCATACACAACTTGCTGGGGGTGAGCTACAACATGGCAATGTGTTTTCACCTTCTTAGGAAGTAAATCTTACTTACCAGTCACAATCAACAGGTTTTTTTCAGTTTTGAAGGGGTTCTATTTATATTCATTGTCTGTTTCAACTCCATCCTATTTGAATGCCTACCTATCATACTTACATTTATTTGGCTGGCACTTCAGAAAAAGGTACTTTACATAATCTTTGATCTCCAGATTATCATAGGAGTAACACAAACTGAAGGTAAGGTTTGTGCCCTTTCTGTCTATTGCTTTTGTAATTTTGATCCTCCTCTTTTCTATAATATGCTTAGCCTATTAACATGGCATAACGTAGGTTTCCAGTTACTAAATTACAAGCTCATCTGAAGTATTTAGACTTGCTATTTTCTTTTAGAGATTTTGCAAATCAGTCTGGTTTGGCCCTGGAGGTAAATCATAGAATCACAGAATCGTTTAGGTTGGAAAAGATCTT